AAAACCCTGTTAACGTTCTAACGTATTATTTCATATTATTAGATTTTTAGGGACAGGCAGTACTTTAAAGTCCAATTAAATTAATTTGTTCAGGGAGTAAATTTCCCAAAGTTGAATTTTTTATTTATGTTTCTTTAATTTTCAATGTAGTGACTAAAAAAGAAAAAATTATTGCTTGAAAAAATTGCAGAAAATTATAATGCGGTAGAAAAAGGGTTAAAAGTGGAAAAAATCGGTTAAAAGTTTCCCGTTACATACGTGTAATCTTAAAAAGCGTGTTAAAATAGTTTTAATGAACTTGGGGAGATGATTTTCAGGGGGGGAAATTTTTAAGGGCGGAGGACAAATTTGGAAAATTTTTTTTATATTGAAAAAAAATTTGATATTTTTTTTGAAATTTTTTGGATGCAATTTGGTATTTCATTTAAACTATCTTATTTCCTTATTTTGTACTCTGTATGTTTAATGTCCGTTTTGTTTTGCATTGAAACTTGAAGTGTTCAAGGGAATTATTAAAAATCATGAAATTTGATATGCTTACACATTTTTATAGTAAATTTCTCCCCATCCAGGGGGGGGCCCCAAAAACATTCCTTTCCCACAAGATGTCCGATGTTGCTAGCTTTTCTAAAAGGACAAGGTTTATAGATTTTTTTAGTAGATGAAGTCACAGGAGATGTTTTATTTTAGTCTTGAGTGTAGTTAATATAAGAAATAAAAATGTTTGTAATCCCTACCATCAGTAGATTTTTTTTCGAAGAAATTCCCTGCGGAAATGGGCGTTCTTCTTTAAATTTTCGCTAAAAAAAAGGTAACGGGGATATAAATGATAGGGGGGACCCCAAGTTTCAGGGTCCTAAAAATTTTAAGCAAAACATTAAAAAATGTAAAACTCCCCCTCCTCCCACACACAAAAAAAAGTCGCCAAGGAATATGGATACAGGACCCACTCAGGACTAGCTGGACCGGAATTATAACGGGTAATTATGTTCAAAATTTTTAATTTTTTTTTTTCTTAGGACAATATATATATATGTAATAATTCCCAACATACTTTTTTAAATTTAAATCTTCTTAAGTCTATAAATAATCTTTTTAATTTTTGGTTTAAAAAAAAACATTGTAATCTTAATCGTAATCGGTTAAACGAAATCCGTATCCCCATTCTAGCCAATAAACTACTATTACGTAATAGTCACGCGCTTTCCGTTGGTATATAAACATAAAATCTGATGTAATCCCCGGCCTCCTTGTCGCCATAATTTAAGATTGTAAATACTTGATGTTTTTTTATCTTTTGTGTTGTGCCCTCCAAAATGCCCTGTCTATTCAATGTAATGGTAACTTTTGTTTTTAATCTGCTGAAGTGTCATAATAAAGGGGAAAGCTATTCAAACGTCGTTTTCATCTAAAATGATAATCACTTAAAACCCCCCAACACTATTCATTTTATATATATATATATATTTTTTTTAATTTTGCTTTAGAGAGTGGCGGCATTTTCCTTTTTTGTCCGGGGCAAAACTGTAGACCCCCGATATATTTTCCGCGATACCCCCTTTCCAAAATCAGGATTCTGGAAAAGGGAACTTGTTTTCCCCCATACAAAATTTTCAGTCTTTGCCTCTATAGAAGGCGATTAATGGGAATATAAAGAAGACTTAAATGTAACATAGAGATAAAGATTTCAATGAAAGAAAATAAGGAGGGGAAAAAAAGAAGGCTTACAGAGAGCAAAATATTTTTTTTAACATACAGAAAGTAGCTTCTCAGATTAAAAAATACATGAGGGACAAAATCAAGATTTTTTTTTTTCATTGTTGTAAAAATAAAAAAATTCTGTAACCAAAAAATGCAATTGAATTTTTTTCAAACTGTTAAAAAATATATATGAAGTCTAAAAAAACTTCAAAAAGATACGCATTTTCTTAAAAAAAGGTAATATTATAAGTCATATTAAATTAGGAAAAAAAGTGTGTGTGTGTTTTTTAACTTCCTCTCTCTATTGTGATCTCTCTTATAGTTCTAATCTCAATGTCCTTATCTCCCGGGTCGATAACCGCAAGGGAGGGGCTTTCTGCTAGTGAAATGTAAATACGTTCGTATTCACGTGCCGAAATAGCTCAGTTGGGAGAGCGTTAGACTGAAGATCTAAAGGTCCCCCGATCCCCGGGGTTTTGGCAAAAACGTTCTATCCTCGGTAGTATAGTGGCGTATCCCCGCCTGTCACGCGGGGGGACCGGGGTTTGTTTCCCCCCCCGGGGAGGGAATTTTTTTTTCCCTTTCCATAATTCTTATAGTTTTTTTTTTTTTTTAATTTTGCTTTTATCAAATTAAAAAATTTGTAATTGAAATCAAATAAAAATATTTTTCTTTAATTCACAGGGTGTCGTTAGAACATATTAAAATTATGACGTAGGCTTATTCTTTTTTTGGAGGGAGAGAGAGGATTCAAGACTCATTTTTATTCGTTGAGGTATGCGTATTTTATATGCAATGCTTTTCGAATAATGATTTGGAGGACTCCGCATTTAATAGGCACTTCCTGGTTATATCAATTGCATACAAATTAAAACTCTTTTGCAGAAGTTACAAACTTAGTATATATATATTTTTAAAAAGTTTGGAATCACCAAGTCTATTTAAGCATTTATCAGAACGCATGACCAACTTGCTTAAGGTATCCGACTACGTTCGGAACCGTGATTTTGCAAAAGCGCGTAAATGGATAATATTTATGATATTTAGTGTCATTAGTTAGAATACATGTATACAATTGTTTTAAGGACATTATGAAAAAAACAAATTATTTAAATACAATATTTTGGCAAAAAAAATTAGAAAAATTTTTTCAAATTTCCCCTTTTTTGAAAAAATGTTTCCCTATTGTATTAATAGCCTTATTCAGCTCAGATCTCTGTGGGCCAACTAAATTTTGAAATGCATAACTCAATCGGTTTATCCGTTTTACAAAAACAGAAGGGGAAATTTTTAAAAAAATATTGATAAATTATTTCTGGTTTGTAACTCTGAAAAAATTGAATTTTTCAAAAATCACATGGTTGACCTCTTACAGGTCCAGGCTTTTGGCAAAAAAATTTAAAAAATAAAGCATTTTTTTCAAAAGGGCATTTGGAAAAAAGGTTACGTTTTTCCTATTTTATTTAAAGGGTCATAATTCTTTAAAACAATTTTATACATGTTTTTTAAAAACAAAATATCATGAAAATTACATTTTGCTTTTAAATCATGGTTCCGAAAAAATGGATACTTAATTTTGAAATCTGGTCCCCTTTCCCTTGAACTGGGTCTCCGAAAATTTTCACACACTGTCTTGGCATCAACACATCAAAACGATATGCTGCATGATATCATAGATCAATCCCAGCTCTGGAGATTTTACTCAGGTTACTCGTCGTATTTTGAATCATCTCTTCAATTCGTGCCTTGTAGACTTGGCCGGCCGCTCCCTGTCATATTGCGGTTTTCGACCCCCTGTCTTCCTGATTGAAAAGAGTGACACCATTTCGCTACATGTTGTCCGCTCATTACTTCTTCATCATAAAACTTCTACGATTTGACTATGAATTTCCGGCTGCAGACACATTCTTTGCTCAAAAAATCGAACACCCAAACAGCCCAATTTTCCCTAAGCGTTTTTTAATTTCAATCGCCCTTTTGGCCGTCTGGGGACTTTCACACCAGCTGTTAAACACCCGCCTTTTTGGCCATATTTCCGGGAAACACAATTTCTCCCCAATATGTAGTTTTCAAATACTGCGGCCTCCTAACCTTTTTTTTCTGATCATCTCTCGTATAAAACATTTTTGAAATTAAAATACAGGAAGATCCCGCTTAACGCTGTTTCGTTTTGCGCTGTTTCGGTTTAACGCTGTTTTATTTGAATAAGTAGATTCCATGAAATTTTTACGCAGCGTTAGGCTTCCCAATACCCGAAGCAGTTTATCTGTTTTTTCTTCTTTCCTGCGGTATCATACGAACGTATTTTTATCTTTTCAAATATTTGTTGACGTTTTTGGTAAGAAAAATTTTTATATAATATAACGGTTTCTACAGTAGCGCACACAGGGGAAATTTTTTTAAAGGGGGGGCGGGGGTTTTGTGAAAGTTCACCATTCTTGTATCATCTTTTTGATTTTTTTTGATTTTCAGGAACAAAACACTGTAAAAACTAATTATTGAATAAATAATTAGCATTAATTAAAAAAATTAAGCATTAATAACAATATTTAATTTACGCATTATATACTTAGAATTAAACCCAAACGGAAAAAAACAAAGGGCTTTGGGGTCGAAACCCCCCTTTTGTGCGCCACTGGATTGCTATAGTGACAAAATTTGGTTTTTTTTGTTTTTATCATTTGGGGATAATAAATAACACGAAAATAAAGCAACAAGAAAAAAACATTTTACTAGAAACTAAAAAAAGCAAGTGATTAAAAAAATCAGAAAACGAATGAAACGTCAATCTCAAATGGGTTCTGCAAGGGGGAAATTTTACAAAAATTCAACAATAAGGACCTTTTCAAGATTAAAAAAAAAAAATACTGTCATAGGCAAAAAGAACTACGACAAGTTGGGAACTAAATTATCCCTTCTAGAAATAAACCCAAAAGAAAATGGAAAAACAACTTTCTTTTTGGATTGACGATAAGTTGAAAACAATATGCTATTAAGCCAATCTACCTTCTTTATAAAAAGGCAGCAAATTGAAAATACAGAAAAAGGTTTAATGATCGGAAATGTAAAATTCTGACTTAGAATTTTATTTATTTTTTTATGTATAGTCTTTATAATGTTTCCCCATATTTTTTAGAAATAAATTTTTGTTTTTTTTGTTATAAAAAAAACATAGTTAATAAATTTAATGGTAAAAAAAAGGCCTTTTTTTACCCATCTTCTCATAAAACCCCCTTTTTTACATGATGAGATAACCTCGTTTAACGCTTTTTTTCATATTATGCTCTACTTTTTATAGAAACGTATACCCCGCGTTAAGGGGGTTTTTTCACACTCAAAAGCATCTCAGATATAAGCATTTTCCCTATCAACATAATTTAAAGTAATGTAGTTGGACATTAAAAGAAACTAAATGTGTTAAATCCAGGATTGCGTTCAATCAAGTCTCCGTTAGGGGGTGAACAACTATTTATTAAGTTAAGTTAGGCTGCACAAAGATAACACATATCATAATCAAAAATAATGGGCAAAGAACATGGGCGGTTTTTCATAGCGACCACGTTGCCTTCTCTCCTGGCCTGTACTGAACTTAAGGGATGACTTGGGACAGTCAGTTTCAGTTACAACAAGATGGGTACAGTATTGAATAAAATAATAGTGAAGTATTTAAAAATGATTAATAAATTTATACATGCATCGGAAATATTTTTCATTGTGGTTGCCATTTTAAAGGTTCATAATTAAAGCATTTTATGAGTCGTAACTTGGATGAAAAAAAGTATAAATTTTGCTCTCATTTTCCTCTCTCACATTATATCTCATCTCCCTTGAAATTAAATTTATCAAGATTTCATTTGTGAAGGGTTTTTTGAGTAGGCTAGTACTGGCTTGTTTCGTTTAATTGATCCTAAACTTTCCTACTTAGATTTTAGTACACGATTTGGTTTGTCGCTTGCCTTCTACGTCCAAAGTTGCGGTTTCGACCCCGGCCCTTGTCGGTGGATTTCATGATGCAGAAAATCGACAGCGGCCATGTCGTATGATTTTTCGGCATGTAAAAGATCCCTTAAGTGTCTGTTTGGCTTGTGTGCTCTCAGCAAAATTAAATCCTAGTACAGGTTCGCATCGTCAAGAGCTCAGGTGCCTCCCTCTGGAGAGGAAATTGGGCGTCAAAATTACTTGTGGTAATTGGTATCGCCTATATGATGCCGCCCTAAAAAGTGAAACTAGCTCCTGGCAGTGGAGCACACAAGGGGTAGGGGTCCTGAGGTCCGGCCTTCCCCAAAGCCCTTGATTTTTTTCCGATTGGTTATAATTCTAAGTATATAATACGTAAAATTTAATTAAATATTTGTTATTAATGATTAATTTTATTAATTAATGCTGATTATTTATTCAATAATTAGTTTTTTACTGTGTTTTGTTCCTGAAAATTGACAAAATCAAAAATAGCATGATACAAGAATGGTGAACTTTCAACCCCGGACCCCCCCTGAAAAATTCCTGTGTGCGCTACTGGCTCCTGGGGAATGTATTAGGTCTGCAAAAGTTAAAATACGAATGCAGAGCCCCATTAGAGAAAAAAAAAGGATTTTAGTACATCAAACTATAATAACAATACACTTTGAAATATATTTATTTGAAGTCTCTATTAATGAAAAAGTGAGATCAACATGTTATAGATCCCGACAAAATGAAAGTAATGTTGAAAATTACTTTTAATAAATTAAATAAAACACTCATTCTTTTATAAAACTGACCTCATTTTCCTTTTTAAAAAGAAAATAAATGAGTGGATAATAAAAACACATTTCTATATTACTTTGTTAAATACTTAGCTTATCTGATATATGAAGACGCGTTAAATATATACAAACAAAAATACAAACCATGAAGTCATACAAACAATAAATATTAGATTACTTGTAAGACAAGTTACAAAAAATAGTCAGACATCACGTTATTGCAAAGTAGGAAAAAACACGAAAAACCCAAAATGGATGTAACAGCAACCAGCAAGAATAAAATATAAAATTACGAGTACAAATATAGGTACTCGAAAGATATAATACGCATTCGCAACGTATCTATACACTTTTAAAAATAAATAGAAATAAAGCAAGCACATAGCCGTTTTTTTTATCTCTCTCTATATATAAAAAAGTTTTTCGTGATGATTAATAAATTTTTATTTATTTTTCTCGCATACGAGAATAAGAATGAAGTATAAATTAAAATGCGGAGATAAAAACTTGAAATTTTTTCCTGCTTATTTCCTTTATTTATATATTTTCCTGTCCCTTTTAGGTGTCCAATATTTTCTTATGTCCCGGGTCTTTTTCTGATCTTTTTCCTGAACGGAAAAGGGCAGAAGTAATACTATTTAAAAAAAAAAATGATTAAAAATTAAAATTACAGTTTTAGAAATTTCTTTATCAGTTTCATTCTAAAAAGAATCCTTTAAAAAAATCTGCTTTATAGTTACATTCTAATAACATTGAACTGTGCTATAATACCCCTTGGAAAAAAGTTGCTGATATCTGTAGTATTATATTTCTTTCATTT